TTTTTTTTTTATTGAAAGAAATAGTAATTTCATTCATGCCAGTGGTCGACCGATAGTAAAGAGATTATGAATGACATTTTTATATACATTTTACTACTTTCTTATTTTTTTTTATTTAAATATATTCAATCTCTTCAATTTAAAAAACAATAATTAATAAAGATAACATATTTTACTACTAGAAAATGAAAAATAGGTGTTAATCACATAAAATTTCAGTTTTAGAAATCGCGGAAATTCCAAATCATATTTAATAAATTATAAATTTTGATGAGAATTCACAAAAAAAAAAATTTGGTTTTTTATTTTTTATTATTATCACTTATTTATTATTTGTTATATGTTATTATTATTTTGAGYTTTTTTTCATGAATAACAGGTAAATAACAATCCTGAATGACAGGGTTATAACAAACAGGACTCTAAGAATTTGAGTTTAAATTTTAAAAATATTGACCATAGAGACTTGAAAATGTTAGCCATCGTGTTAATTATTACTTAAAAATATTTTCAAAATATTTCAACTAGCATTTTGAACCATTTAAGCCAGGGATGGCCAACTTTAATAAACTTGTGACTGAYGTCTTGAGATTTTATTGGTTGTTGTTAATTAGCATAAATTTCCCTATTTTAATAAATGACCATGAATAAAGTTTAATAATAATTTCGTTTATTCATTATCTATTATTATTTTATTAGGTATAGATATCTAGTAATGTTAACCTACYTTATTAGTAATAGAAAAATATTACATAATATTTTTAGAATACTGGCTGACATTCTATCTAAATTAAAAATCATTATTTTAAGCAATGATTTACATTAAGTTCATATTTAAGATAATGTCGCCACTCGCATGTGATGTCTCTATCTTACACACATACTACATACCAAATTTTTGTTCACTAGTTTCAATRKTGTACTGTGTGAAATGACTTTTTTACTTTTTAATGAGTTAAGTATTTGCATTTTCAAATGTTTATGCTTTGTATGCTTATTATTTATAACTCATTTAAAAATTAACGAAAGAACTCAGATAATATTCTTACCTATGATGGGTCAATTCACTCTAATATCAAAACTAAGAGTACACTTTTGAAATTAGTGAACTAAAATTTGCTAGGCAGTTTGATGTGTGTAAGAGGAAGACAACWCATGCAGATGCGACGTCTTCTTAAGGCGCCCATTAATGTGACCTATTCAAAGAAAAGGTTCATTAAAATCCTACTATATTCTATATTGCAGAGTGACTCTCCGGGTTTTATMTTTGATTTTAACCAGGTTTTATAATATAACTTGTAATATAATGTATTMATTATTTTCTTAAAATTGTCTTAGGTATGGAATTTGTCATTACCAGTGGTAGTTATTGTGCACGGAAATCAAGATCCTCATGCTTGGGCTACTGTAATTTGGGACAATTCTTTTGCTAAACTTGGACGAGTCCCATTTAATGTTCCTGACAAAGTGCCTTGGAAAAGTGTGGCAGAAGCTTTAAACATGAAATTTTCTGCAGTTACAGGTCGTGGTCTTTCGGAAGAAAGCTTAATGTTTTTGGCAGAAAARGCCTTAAGGTTTGTTAAATATAWTAATTTTAATGCAATACAAAATAATAAAACATTTTTTTTTAGAACTCAAAATGTAGATTTCAATAATATGATTATATCATGGTCACAATTCTGTAAAGAACCGTTGCCACAAAGAAGTTTCACATTTTGGGAATGGTTTTATTCAGTGATGAAATTAACTAAAGAACATCTAAAAGGTCCTTGGATGGATGGGTAATATCTAAATACTATAAAATATCGTAATTATAAATACTACCTAMCATCATAAATTTTTAAAAAATTWAAAAAAAAATTGTAGAGCTATTATGGGTTTCATAAGAAAGTCTGATGCAGAAAACATGTTAACAAGATATGCAACTGGTACATTTTTATTAAGATTTTCAGATTCAGAATTAGGTGGTCTAACTGTTGCCTGGACTGCATGTATGTTATATATTAGATTTAATTTATGATTAATAAAGTGTTGAATTTTAATCATTTTTTTTCAGCTAATGAATATGAAGTTTTTAGTCTACACCCTTTCTCAGCTAAAGATTTATCTATTCGAAACTTGGCAGATAGACTACTAGACTTACCATACCTCACCAAGTTATATCCGAATATAGATAAAGACCTAGCATTTGGAAAATATTATACACAATCACCAAGTATTCATATTATTTATTTTTAGTTTGAATTTTTTTTCTCATATTAATAATGAGTCATTAATGACTAAAGTAATTTTCTTATGTTTAACTTCTCTTATATTCTCAATTTTATAAAACTCAGCTTTAGTCATCATTAAAGGTTTGGAAGCTTTTATTTTTTTAAGAGTTATAGATATATAATTGTTTTTATGGCTGTGATAGTATTCTACTGTTGTTTGAGTTATAAATAATCATATGTGGGAGTAAATACTCATAAATCAACCAACATTGACTAKATTTTTAGTGATTGCTATACAATTAATTATTTTGTTCCTGTTAGCTAATAAATTTATACTTAAAAGTCTGATAAAATTATCCCTTCATTATAAATAAGTTTTTAACTCTGTA